CCTGCCAGCCGCGGGCGCGCGGAGCCCTGCGCGGGAGCCCGGCTGCGCTGGGCTGGGCTGGGCTGGGCAGCGCAGGACGGGTTGCGGGGCCGGCGCGATGGCAGGGATGGAGTTAGCCTCTGCGGGGCTTTCACAAAGCGGAATGGGGAAAAGGGCCTTTGATCTGCTGAAAGGGCGGGTTTGTCCGCAAGAAGGACTCGGAGTCCAGCCTGGCTTAGAGCAAAAGGAGGAAGGGAAACCCAGGAGAAGCAGAAACGTGGTGGGGAAGCGAGAAACGAAGTGGGCTGTGGCAGGGGGGGGGGAGGGGGGCCCCCCCCTGCCCCTCCCTCCCTTCCCAGCCTGGGTGAGCAGACAGGCCCTGGGAAGGAAACACCTGCCCGAAGCAAACCAAGCGTTGGGACGCCCCAGCTGCCTGCGGCTGACTGGGTTTTGGTGCGCTGGCCCCAGGGTCCTAGGACGCCCCGCCGGCTTTAGCTTCTAGCTCTTCTGCAGGGAGGTTGAGGCAGCTTCGGTGCCACATTGCAGGAAGGAGTTTGCAAAGCCAGGCTGAAATGGTAAAGCCACACTGATTGCAACGCTTGAACCACAGCGGGGAGGAAATGTAAATGTAGGTTTCTGATTCAGGGGGCCGAAACCAAAGAGTTGGCTTCAGGTGTTGCAATCAGCCTACCGCCCACCAGTGCTTGCAAAATGCTTGGGGTGGAGGCCAGCTGCTGCAGTCTCCCAGCGCGCCTAGCTCAGACATGTTGCAACACGGGCTCCCTTAGCACAGGAGGTGCCAGAGCAGGTGCTAGAGTTGCCAAAGTGGGGTTGTATGTGCAGAGCAAACATGCGCTCGTTGCTAATCTCACTGCAAACAGTTAAATGGACAGGGCTGAGTTCAATGCTCAGCAGCACAAAGGATGGAAAGTTTTTTTTTAAAAAAGGCTTGTTATCAAAATGCAAGATTTTCTAAAAAGATCTTTCCACTTTCTGAACAGCGCTGTAATTTGCTTCTCACTATGTCTCAGTTGTTTTGAATATTTGTTGTCCTATTGCTGTATCTCTTTGGCCTAAATCCTACTTGCATTGCTTGTCTGGGATGTCCCGCTGCACTCAGTTGGCTTGATACCGACTCCCTCCAAACACTCAGTGTTTGGGAGATCCACTGAGTGAGGTGAGCGCAATGTGATCTGCTAGGTCACTGATACTCAGCGAGGGTGCTGCAGCACGCTAGGGTGCCTCAAGGTCCCTTCAAGCGTGCTGCGAGGTGTCACACACTCGTACAAACAAGATTCACAGTATGAATTCAGAGATTTCAACCAGAAATCCATCGTTATGGTCTTTCTGCATTCTCTGCAACAGAAAATCTGCTCTCCTTTTCTGTAGCCAAAAAAAAAAGTGAAAACTAAGAGCGGGCATTTTCCAAGGGTGCCTCGAGTCTGTCCAGGGATGCTAGGAGCCTAAAAAGGTTGAGGACCACTGCATTATGGCAGTTGGATGTTGTCGTTACAGAAACGATATGAACATCACAACTTCCAGGGTGTAATTACAAACCACAGTAGCAAATGCTGAAACGCACCATATTTAATTTATTCTAATGGCAGGCCTGGAAACACACGTGTGCACCCTGCTCACTTCTTCCCTCCATGTTGCCATAGTGGCAGTCATGTTTACTACCTGAACACATGTTAATTGATTACACTAATCATTCCCCATCGTCCCCCAGACTCCATATTCATTTCACAGGGAAAGTCAAAATAAGCTAGAGCATACTTGTGTGCAATTATAAATGATATGATTATGCAACAGTCAAGAATTGCTCTCTTAATTTACGTTGTTATTCCAGGTGATTCCAAAGAATAAGTTTGTCCTGGTGAAGTTTGACACCCAGTATCCTTATGGCGAGAAGCAAGATGAGTTCAAGAAGCTGGCGGAAAGTTCAGTGTCCAGCGAAGAGCTGCTGGTGGCTGAAGTGGGAATATCTGGTGAGATGCTGTAATGTAACAAACTAATAGGGGGGCCGGGAAATGAATTGTTGGCGCTAATCAACCTTTAAAGCAGCCACTGCCAAACCATGCAGGCCTGTTTTCCAGCAGGCCTTTGAGGGAGCTCTGGTGGTGAGTGGTTACAGAAGAATTACAGTTGTCCAGTTTGACTCGGGGGATCTAAGAATAGTTTGCCGAAAGGCTCCCTTTTTAGTTGCTCTTGTTCTGATTGCCCCCTTATTGCGGTTAGTAGCAGAGCGGACTGCCCCCAGACGTGCTGGGTGTAGGAGTGCTGAAGTTCATGAAGGCACTTTAATGAAAGTAAATATACATTTTTGCTTTGCAGCTGCTGCTGCCAGGGGGCGGGGGGTGGTCTGTCCTTTATGCCTCAGGAGAGAAAGCTAAATCCCTGGGTTCATATCCTGGTGTTTCTTCCAGGAATTCATGTGAGACCTGCTTGTCCTCAGATCGTGGTTTTTAAATTTGTTTGCTGTGTTTTCGCTGTGAGTATCTGCACAGACATGGGTTTAGGAATAAAACTGCAAAGAGCTGTTGCAGCCTGCACACTTCACACCTTAAGCTGATCTCCAAGAAGAAATGAAACCCTCAGAACATGACTCTGAGAAACCAAAGCAGTGAGAGGGGTTAGAGCAAGGTTAAAGAAATGCATTATGGGGGTGGGATTTGCATCTTCCGCTGAAGGACATAAAGGACTTTTAAATAGGCTTTTATTTTTGTTCCAGTGGATGGCAAAGACTGTTACAGTCACAAGCACAGATGTCTACTGGTTTGGAGAGGAAATAATCTGATTGATGTACTGAGCCTTTTTGTGTTTGGTTTCTCTTCACAGATTATGGTGATAAACTGAACACTGAGTTGGGTGAGAGATACAAGCTGGATAAGGACAAGTATCCTATTTTTTACTTGTTCCGGGATGGCGACCTTGATAATCCCTTACCTTATAGCGGCCAAGTGAAAGTGAGCTCTATTCAGCGCTGGCTGAAGAGTAACGGCATCTATCTAGGCATGACGGGCTGCCTGAAAGAATATGACATCCTGGCAGGCAAGTTCATGAGCACCACTGAAGAATTGGAGCGCCGAGCCCTTCTCAAACGGGGCCAGGCGAGTTTAGAAAGAGCCAAGGAGACGGAGAAGAAATCTGCTGAGCAGTACTTGAAAATCATGAGCAAAATCCTGGAGCAAGGAGAAGAGTTTGCTGCCAACGAAGTTGTCCGGATCACAAAACTGATTGAGAAGACCAAAATGAGTGACGGGAAGAAGGAAGAATTACAGAAAAGCCTCAATATTCTTGCCTCCTTCCAGAAGAAGAATGAAAAGGATGAGCTCTAACAAGCTGGAGAACTCAGTACAAGCTGTGAAACACTGGTGGGAGGAGTCCCCTTCCCTTCTTACGTGAGCAAACTTCCCATCGACTTCAAGGGAGCAGCAAAAGTCCTAACGTCCTTGGTGCTGTCGACTACTAAGAGGATGACATTCCTTTCACAATAACAGTATTCTGTAGTTGGAGTTCAAAAAAACCATCACCATCTAAAGTGAGGCTGCAGTGTTTGTGGTGATCAGTATTACAACCTTTCTCCTTCCCCTTCCCCCTCCAAAAAAGAATGATGGTAAAAAAACATAAGCATGGAGCAGCACTTGAGGGGCGCGCAACACTTCCCAGTGGGAATTACTGAGAGTCTTTAACGGCAGATCAGTGACAAACGTTGAGTCCCAGGGTCTCGAGGGGAGTGTGATTCTAGACGGCTCTTACTTTTGGCCCCGCCCCACCCCAGCTCTGAACCCTTCAGCCTTGTCCTTCCTAACCGTTTCCCCATTCTGGTACTTTTCCTCCACTTCTGGCTCTGTGGCTTCCCAGTTCTGGTTTCTACCCCTTAGGCTTATGTTAAAAAAACCATGTTAGTCCCAGTGTCCTTGTGCCTAGTCCTCGTTACCTGCTCCTTTCCAAAGTCTTTCTCACACGCATGTCTCCCAGCCCTGTCTTCCCTTTCTCTCTGCCTAGCTCCCAGTTTCATTGCCCAGGTGCTCCTTACCCAGCGTGTCCCAATAAACTTGTCCTGATCTACTCCTTCCCTCCCCTGAGGGCCAGCTTTCGTCCCTTCTGCCTTCAGATCAAATGCGTTCCTGTACACTGCTTGGGGACTAGCAAGAAGTCACTGATGGCAGGAAAGATAGGCATCATCCTCTGCGTTTCTGTGGCTGCCCCTGAAGCTCAGAGCAGCCATGACAGCTGCCATCCGCGCACAGCAACAGATTGCGATCCTGGCCAAGCCAGAAATTTTCCAAAGTTTTTGCTAATAACTCCTAACCTATCTTCATTGAGTCTGTGCAGACTAAGGTCCCCTTTTTCCCTCCCCCTAAATACTTGGCCAGATTTTTTTTTCCCCCCCCATGGTGGCCAAAGCGTATGTCTGCTACAAAGGCCACCAGACCTACCTTCCTGTCAGATTTTACATTCCTTTTCTCAAAGTACAGGAGCAAGAAGGGAGGAGAAGAGCACAAAAGCATTTAAAAGGTCGGTCTTTAAACAAGAATTAAGACTTCATTTTCCGTAATGGCTGAACACCTTTGTCTAGGCTTAGAAGAAAGTACGGCCAGCACCTAGCGTAGAAAGGTAAAGCCGCCCCCCATCCCCGTAATATTTTGGCACGGTTTTTAAGCCACCGAAAACTGGATCTTAATAACGGGAAGGGCTGGCAACCACTGGCGATGCGTAGGGGGTGCACGCGTGTGTACGTGCGCCCGCTGCCAGCACCTGCAGGAGGTCACCGCTTGCCACCCTCCTCCTCCTCGCTGCCAACACTGCCGGTGGCCCGCGACTGCTGCTGATGCTGCCGGCAGTGTCTGCGAGCGGTCGCTGACTGTCGGTCGGCACTCGCCGCATGCCATTGCAGATGCCTGTGGGAGCTCACTGTGCCCAGCCAGTTGTGGCACCCTTGCTGAGGGGCGGTGCTAGTGGCCCCCTCTCTAATCCAAGATGGGTCCCCGTGCAGAAATCAGTCGTGTCCAGGGATGGCTGTCGCAGGAGCTGCCATTGCTCTTGTCACATTGGTGACGGGGGTCAGCGGAGGGATGTGGGCTGGCGCATGTCACCCACGGGCCAAGGAAGGGAGGGGGGGTGACAGCTGCTGCCTTGCTGTGGGAGGGGGTGGCTGCCAGGCGGGCTGTGCTGCAGTCCCTCCTCCCCTCCCTACCC